GCTTGTGCATTTGCTGTTTGCAATCTACAGAGCTGTTAACGACAGAGTTGATTAGCTCTTCACTGCTGCAGCAACAGCATTTGTCAATATAATGAGTGATGGCTTTTCACATCTCAGGCAAATAGTAACAATGAAAAATACTTCACATGCACTTTTTTTTTTTTTTTTGTAAAATTGTCCTTGGTACCAGTGAGTGAGAACGTTACTGTGAAATTGCTAAAGCCAGATAGACACAGGCATAAAGTTGTAAAGAATCTCTGTATGTGTTAGAGCCAAATGAGCCAACATGTACTAGCAGCCAGCTGAAGAGAAGATTGCTTTTTTCACCAAACTCCCCAGCTCTACCCTGGTGCTGAAGCGCTCCCAGGGGAGCGTCCTGCGCCCCGCCAGCTCTCCTGGGCAGACAGAGGTGCTGCAGGAGCCTGCCCGAGCCCCGGAGGGGCTTCACCCTCCGGCCCGCAGCTGGGTCCCATGAGGGCCTTTGTGCTCCTGGACTCCGTCCAGAAAAGCACTTACGCATGCAAACATTTCAGTTTCTATTAATTTCACTGATACTACTCACTTAAATACCTGACTGGGTCAGGGCCAGCATGCTCAAGACTTTGCAGGATAAAACTTTTAAAGGAATAATTAATGGAAATTATGCAGAACAAGATTTGTAGCTTAATAACAGTGTTCTCTTCTGAGCCGAACTGGAATAGAGGTGCAGAACACAGTTGTGTTTCAGCTGGTGCAAATTGTAGCTGGTCACACGGTTTTACCTCCGTGGAGGCCGTTGCCTGGAGGTGGCAGATACCCATCAGGATTAGGATGCGCAGGATCAGGTTGGTGTGATTGCTGTGCTGCTCTCAATGTTTCTCCGTAGCACTGCAGAGCCATTTTTTTTAAAGCCAATAGCAAGCTGGCTGGAAGAAAATGTTTGTTCTGCGTGTCATACTGCTCACATGTGCATGGGGTGATCATGCAGACGGTACAGCCATCGCCCCTCAGTCGAGCAGGGCAGCGTACCTCTTAGCAGCAGCAAATTGGGCACAGGTGGGACAGCCTGTGATTTCATCTGAAGTGTTAACATGAACTTGTGTGCAAGCAAGAGCCAGAGTCCCTCAGCTAATTTAAGGCAAAATAACTGTTTCCAAGGTAGTTTTTTCTGCGACCCAGCTGCACGGCGTTCCCAGAAGAAGAGGCAGGTTGAAGCCCGGGCAGGTGGCACAACCTGGGTTCCAGCTGAAAGGGATGTCCCCGTTCTGCTGACCTGGGCTGGCCAGGGCAGGGAGAGCAGAGAGCAGGATTGCTGGGGAAGTGTGGGCATCAAGAGCGGATACCTGAGGACTGATTTAAACACTGATGTGCTCACTCAGCTTTGAGTCTTACGACTTCAACAGTGACGTACTGAGGTCTGACTAAAGATTCAGAAAAGAATGAAAACAAGTTATTGAAAAAAGCGGTGTTATCTGCACACTGACTTCTGTGGAATTACTGGGAATTCTCTTCTGTTTCCAAACTGGAAGAGCCATGGAAATACTTCTTAAAAACCAAAATTTGCAGTGATACAACAGGGGCAGGTTCTAGTCTGTCACCTTCTTTGCCATTAGAGCTTGCTGAATGCATCAAGACATGCCTATTAAAGTTTTGGCTTTTTTTTTTTTTTTTTTTTTTTTTTTCTTTAATGACAGTTTATCCGAGCTCACGGAATGAATGGATAACGTTACTATTTACATAAGCTCATTGTGATCTGTCTCGGTAATGTAATCAAATTAGGGTTAACTGCAGCTGGAGAATGCCAGCTTGTAAACTGTTTTTCAAAAAGAATCACATGGTGTTACTTGACATGTTTAGTATACATTCAGGAGGCTTTGCAAAAATTATAGCACATCCCTAACCGATGTAACTAAGTCAGGATTCTGTTGCCACCAGTTTGCTGAATCTGGGACGTGAAATGCAGTGAAATTCGGCAACAGGCGGAGGAGATACACCTCCGAGCAGAATCCTAAAACACAAGTTTTTCTGACGTGGCTGCTGCTGACATGTTGTCTTTCTTTTGGCTAAAATCAACATATCAGTTGATAGAAAAAGCATATGGTGTAAATTTTGAGTGCATTTAAGAACATCTGTGTTAACTGCAAAAGTGTAGCCCACTGTACACGTCAAGCACTATATTTAGTCTTATGGCATTCGCATAAGATGAAGTCCAGCCTGAGCTAAAATTACCCAATGAGTAGATTTTCAAAGTATCTTTTGTTATTCTTATTAATAAACATTGCATCTGGTACTTACTCTCCCTCTTTCTCCCTGTCTCATTTAATTAGGAGGTTCTGTTTACATCACAGTGGTGCAGTCATCGAGTTCTTTTGCTGCAGAGAGAGATCTCACAGGAAAGTCTTTGCCCCTCAGAGCTCACACTATGCCAACGTACCTGGTCTGGCTGTGGAATTTCCATCTTCCTGGAAAGGTGCTGCCAGACAGTTTTCATTCCAAACTGGGAATGGAAAAGAAGAATTTTGAAACTTCCTACCCAGCCCAGGAAGGTTTCTGAAGGCTCTGTCAGAGCCCTGGCCACAGTTTTGGGTTCTGTCCTCTGCCCCTACACACACACAGTACACAGCACACCCCATCAAATACCAAAAATATTTCAACATCAAACTGTCCACCTGTCCTACTGACATGAAAAAATAGGAAATCTAGCTACATTCAGGCTGCGTCTAAGCTAATGCAGAAAGTCTGTGGCAGAACTTAGTCCCATACTGTTGCATTTTGGCCATAATCATCTTTCTTCTCTAAAGTCTGCTGCAAAGGAAGGGTGGAATATAGCATCTAAAAAGAGTTCCCAATCTCCCACTACTGCTAAAATACCTTTTTCCACATGTAAATATTCTGATAGTTTGAGTGTGGAGATGGCTCCATCAAAGCTAAAATTCGTCATGAAATCGGAGGTTTTTTCCCCAGAAGTTCTATAATGGTAGGAAACGGAAAAAAACATTTCACTTTGTCAAAAATTGGCCATTTCGAAAAATTCTGAATGAAGTTAGATAAACAGCCACTGATGCTTTTTTGTAGATGTGCCATTTTTGAATATGTATGAAATACTTTTTACAGAAATTCTGTTCTCTAAGAATTTTGAAATTTGGGATCTGCTATGAATTGAAGGGAAAAAAAATAAATACGGTTGGAGAAACAGAACTTGCCCCTTAAGCGCAGATCTATCCAAACCAACAAAAGGAAGCTTGTGTTGGCATTTAGATTCAGACTCAGGAATTCCTGACTCTTAAACCTGTTTATACAGAACTATACCACAGCCCAATTTGCACTTCATTTTAATTTTTTTCCCCCTCTACGTTTATGGTCATGTTGAACGGGTGGATTATACACTCTGAATACACATACTTAACCAATTGTTTTTAAAGATTTTTTGCATATAATAATTACAGTTAAGTGTCTTCATTTGCAAGCAGCAGTGTTCCATGAAGGCTTTTAAGTTATTTAGCATAGTCATATTTATATTACAACTCTGAAAGTTTCGTGGCCTAATTCTCAAAAGGCTTTTGAGGGTCGCTAGTTCCCAGTGAAGGTAACGGGAGCTGCAAGTGCTCAGCTCTTGAGAACAGTCAGCAGTTCCCCAGCATCTGGGTGACACGGGCTTCTAACTGCGCATGACAGATATTTAACATTCAGTCTGTGTTTGTGCACACACAAGTGCAGGAACACATAGATTTTTATTGCTCTGGTATTCACCTCTTGGTCCTATTTGCTTTCAGCTACTTTCTAAACCACAATTTCAATATCTATTAGAGCTGTTGTAAAATATAGAATGGTTTAGAATTCTTGCTATTTAAAATGTGGCACGTTGTTATTACAGCTGAGCTTGGAGACATTTGCCAACAGTTTTGAAATTTGTAGATTGTTAGATCTCACCTGGGCATGGTCAAAGGGGTCCAATGACTTTGTGCCAAGTCCTCAGCTGCTAAAATGCAACAGAGCCTCCTTGGACCTTTCATTTCTTTTTTCTTTTTTTTTTTTTTTTTTTTTTTTTTACAGTAAGGTTCCTTTGCAATGTACAACTATTCCCACTGTACCTTAGGTTTGCTTGCTTTTTGATCTCTGTTCCTTGGATCTTTTTTCTGTTCCTCTTTGGTAGCCAAAATACATTGCCTGGGCCTGGAAGTCCTGCGTGCCTTGAACCCACCCTAGCACTTGAATATATGTTTAACCTTAGACATCTGAGATCCCCTCTGAGGTCAGTGAAACGACTTAAATACTTGGAGTCCGGCTGTTGGATCGCCTCCTTGTGGAGTATGTTTATCCTGATGGAGCCATCCAGTGTGATATAAAGTTTAGGTACTTGACCTCCCTGAACGCCTGCTGACCTAGATCTAATCTGAAGTAGAACACAGCCGTGTTCTAATGACTTGTATCACCACACCTTGTCTTGGAGGAGGAATTAAAGACCTTCTTGTTCCGCTTCCGGGAGCGCCACAGCAGCCTGCGCCCGGGGTCCATCCCTGCCGTGAAGCTCCTGGCGCAGCACCCGGCTGCGGGAGGCGGTGGGAGCGTTGGGGCGCGTGAGGTGGAAGGGGGTGTGAAAGGTGCCTCCCGGGGGTGGTGGCATCAGGCCTGGCCCTGTCACCGTGGCCGTGACGCGGTGCTGGCAGCCGGCGTCGGTCGCCCGCTCCGGAGGGACTCGCTTTTGGAGAGCCCACAGGTCTCCATCCTCTTGGTGCCCCTATTCTACATCACCAGTCATCTGGGAAAGAGGCACGTGTTCCCATCAGCCAAATCTAAAGAAATTATTTATAGAAGCTAGAGAAAACCTTAAAATGTGCGGGAGAATATAACAGTAGTTCTGGTGTAAGCCTTCCATCTGACTTCCCAAACATCTGTGTGGCTCTGTTGCAGTTGAGAGTTTTGGCCTTGAATCATCATCATCATTTTCATAATCTTTATTATTTTATAACATTCTTAGTTGTAATTCAACTTAATTTTTTTCCTATTTTGTTTTTGCTTAGCAAATACTGACTGATCCCGAGGTGACCTCCCAAGAAGGCAATATAAAAAAGGTAGGATATGGATCAATCTTATGCAATATGTTTCACTGTATAGTTTTCAAATACACCGAGATAATTTTTCTTTTCTTACGTTTGAACAAAGGTGTATATCGCAATAGCGTCATAAAAGTTTTCCAATATTTGCTGTTGCTTTTTTGGATTAAGTATTGTGGTTCTATTGGCGTATTTTTCTGTCTTTTTGTGATTCCAGTATGTATGAAAAAGAAAGTAACAGTTTGAAGTGTCCCTTGATTCAGCTACAATATAAACAAATACCAGTCCAAATCGAAAAACCTCATTTACCTCTTTTCCAGTAAAAGAAAATGTTGGTCCTTTGTTAAAAGTGCTAAATTTTTAGAGGTCACTTCACCATGAAAATGTGGCTTATGTGAAGTCCAAGGGAAAAGGAATAGATATATGAAAGGATAAAATTTAACTCATATGATGTATTACCGGTGCTTTTCATCACATTGTGATGCTTAAACTATAATACTGACTAGAGAAAAATGTGTTCCAAATACAGCCCAGCTGTATAAATTTCTTCATAGTAGCTGTGAGGCTGCCTCAACACTACATATTTCAGTAGCCAGTCTACTATTTTGGTTGGGGTTATTCTCAGCAACACTAAAATGACATTCTTTCCATGGCTATCTTTTGGTTAACGGCTTTGCTTCAGTAAAGTGTTACAAGTCATATTTGATTATGGCCTCTCTAGATGTGTAGAGGTAGTGCGTCCTTGTTGAAATAATGAGCTAGCTGTAATTCTTTTCATATGCAATTGTCTTATAATGGGTATTCACAGTCTTATTCATAAAATACGAGTTTCTGAAAGTGGAAAATATTTTAGTTTGGAACTTGCAACAACTGCCATTTTTATTCATCCATTTAGGCAAGCTTCAATACTGTTTCTTGACTCTGGAAGCTAAAAGGAAACACTTGTTTCACTCTGCCAAACAAAGTGAAATATAATACTTGTCGGGCTCCAAAGTTAGTTTGGGAAAAGATATTTAGACACATGTCCGGTATGGACCGTTCTATTCTTACCATGTTGAGAAAAATAAGCTTTTATTTTAGAAAGCTGGGCTACCAATATGAAATGTTCTTTGACCATCCAATGACCTTGCAAAGGACCTATCGCAATACTGCTGAACTTTTTACCTTGTTCATCTCCATAACTCATTTAGTGTTTGTCTCTGCCTCTGTGGGATCCTTTTGTCTGAACAGACATAGTGACAAGGTGGCAGGTTCTTATTATCACAACGCACTTATCACAAGGATGGAGTAAATTCTCCATGGCTCAGGACTGCTCAGCTATTTCTTTCTCAGTCTATAATTACAATATCACAAAGGCGTTCTACATCCCTAACTTGCAGAATCTACATTGCCCTAAAGAGTGCAGTCTGTGTATGAAACAAGGGCAGAAGGAAATGTTAGACTGGCAGCTTTCTATGTTAAATACGTGGTTTTGTATTTACACTTCATTACTTTTATTTCAAAGGAGAATGTTGCAAAAACTACAGGTCTTTGAAAAAATACTATGTCCTTAAATATTTTCCTATACAGCAGGTATAAAACCGGACAATTATGATATTTGACAAGGGGGGAAGGACTGGCCTTCCACTCCTGTCTTTTAAATGCATTGTAGAGAAGCACTAGTGGGAGTTTATGAGGTGATAAATTTATTGAAGGATGGGCAGTAGGGTTTTACAGCTAGGGTAAAAAAGGTCAAAGCAGTAAGGTAAAGAGTTCAAGTCTAAACTTTATGGCTTGTGAAAAGACTACTGCTAGACAGATTTTCAGTCAAAATAAAATGCAAAATAAAGAATGAAAAATCATTCTGTACAATTTTTGTAGCATTTTAAAATTGTTGGTAAGTTGTACTCTAGCATTTTGCTCCAGTGGCACAAAACCCTCTTGGGGGAAGATTTTCTTTTCCAACCTCTCTAAATCACTCAGTTGTCATATCCCTGAAGACACAATAGTTGAGATTGGACTTCAATTTATTCCTATTCCTTCAGAGAGACACTGGTGGTGAGAAGGTGACTGAAGACAAATGTAACTGTAGTGGGTGGGCTGATTTAAACTAGGAGAAAAGGAAGTCAGAGCCAAACAGAGGGACAGTAATTTTCAGTGGCTCATTTGACTGACTGCTGTATCACAGGTTCAGAATTACGTAGTAAGAAGGACTAGAAGGAGAAAGAAAATCCCTAGAATGCAGAGAAAATCTGTGGAAACAGTAAAAAAATAGAACAGGGAAAGGAAGCATGTTAGCAGTCAGAGGTATAGGAAGATGCACAGGAAACAATCTCTGCTTAAAAATTGGCCCCAGTATTATTTCTGCTGTTAAGCTGCCAGAAGAATAATGCTCTCTTATGTAACTTTTCATAAACTGAAAGGCAGGGGAAAGTCTGAAGGTGTAGCAGAGCAGACACTATTATATTGTATAATAAAGCAGGCTGGTTTTGGTCTTGGAGCAAATTAAGAACTATTTTCTCACTATGTCCAATATTTTTCAGTTCATATTGCTGTTATTTCTGCTGGGACCACTAACACCAGAAAGCTGATTTGTTTGTTAGTGATTGTCTCCCAAGAAGTAGGATTTCTAGCAATATTATTAAAGGATCTGTGTCCAGGATTGCTTTTCCATATCTGGAAATGTGCTGTGGCATAGGCTAAAATCTGGTGTACTCCTAACAAGTTTTCGTTTTATCTACTTTGCTTGCTGATATTTAATTTAACTTGTACAAATATACATCAGCTTCTCATCCTGTTTGTTTAATTTTAAATAATCGATTGTGAATGTAATGCTAAAATAGGAGATTCGCTTTTTTTAGTGAACTGAATGCATACATTCAGACATGTGCACAAATGTGTAAGTTATACCTGTGGGTATATTGTCCCATATTCCCAAATGTCTTTTTTTTTTCCAAGCCATCTTCCTGCAGTCTGTTTATTTTGCTTAGAGAGCAGCTCACGTGTTCTCTTGCTCTGAATTTTCTAAGCTTCTCCACTGCATTTAATACACTGAAAAAATGGCTTGTTATCATTATCTTCATTGTCATTTTGATTGAACTTTGAGGGGGAGATGAAAGATTTAGACTTCCTCTGGCAGGAAACAAGGCCAGTGTCCATTACAAGACACCTTTTTTTCCAGGGAGCCCTGCTACATGTATGTATCGCTCCTCTAAAAGTCACTTTGGATGATGGTTTGAGAATCATATTGAAGGAGGCTCTGTGTACAGAGCTCCCAGCCAGCCTCCTCTGGATGGGCTGTTTTTCTGACTGTGGTGACAAGAGACCTCGGGGACTTCTCTCTTCAGTAGACTCTCTATTTAGTTTCTGTTTACTTAGAGGGAATAGCCTGAGGGGCTACTGGAGAGAAAACATCTGTGGGAGATAATCTATAGAGTTATCTATCTATCACTCTTGTCGACCCTGTCTCCCTTGAGAGCAAGCTGAGAGACTTGTAATAAAAAGGCATCGCTGAAGAGGCTTTAGGGACAAATAAAGAGACATGTTAAGGGCCAGCTGAAAAAGGATAGAAGACATTATTAAAGCTCAATAGCTGTCTTATCAAAATCCAATAGGATAGGCATTTGGCAAAAGGCTTTAAATTTATTCTTTGACTTTCTCGAGAGCTTGAATTTATCCATTAACAAGAATGTACTACACAGGAAGCGGGAGATGCTATCAGCTTCAAAAGAGTTGGATCCAATCTGGTATTGTACAAAACACAACAACAAAAACTGAAGACAAAACCAATTCTTTCCCCTGCTTTGGCTGACTTCATACCTACATTGCAAAATACTAGAGGCTGGTAATACAATGCTGGTGACACTATAAACTAGAAGTAACTTATGCAGCACAGTAATTTATTCTTTACGCCTAAATCATATAGATTTTTTAAAAAATAAAGTTATTGTTAGAAAACTGGGTGAGATTGGAAATCTTGACCCCTTAGAAAGCATCAAGTAGTAAACAAGAAACCTAGGTAGATGGAAAGCTTTTATTCCTAAAACAAAGTAAAAACCAACAAATGTTTTGTTACTACAGATGCAAAGCGGGATAGGGCCATAAATCTCCCAAGGTTTATTATTATATACAAAATGCTACAGGTCACAGGAACCATCTGATACTTCAGAAACACATTGTTCACCCAAGATGATTGATTGATAATTATGATAATTTGCAAAATGATTATTTGGGTATTATAACCATAGTTTGTCCCACTGGATTGCTGTGAAGACATTTTCTATATCATGGGCCGTCAGAAATGGCCTCTGGCAACAAGGGATATGGAAAGGTCTGGCCGGTCTCTCCCAGTGGGATCTGTAGGACTGATGAATGATGACCCAGAGGAGTAAGAAATCAGACTTCAATAAGCAGTCAGGAAGGTAGTTAGAGAAGAGCAAGGGAACTGTTAACTGTCTTTTGTGGAGCAATTACTAGCTGGGCCATACACCCTCAGGCCTAAGCACAGTCTGTCATAATATTATACATGCAGAAGGAGATTGACTTAGAGATTTTAACTTGAGCTCTTTAAAATTCTTGGATTTGCAGCATTTTGCACAAAATTCATTTGCATTTCTGCATTTAATATATATTACGAGTATATTTATTATCTATATCTAATAAAAGGTGTTCTAGAACTGTTGGAAAAGACTTAAAAATCCAGATTTCAGTGACACTTCTTCATGTCTCGGTTCTGTGTATTGAAGAATCAAACCCTCGGTTTAAGTGGTTTTAAGACAGACTTCATATTGACTGAGAATTTACACTATTAACCAGACTGAATTATTTTTAAAATATCACCTGCTTTTGTGCATTTAAAATTTAGCTTTACAAAGGAGAGACCATGTTCTTATAAAACGTAGCAGACTGTTGAGAGCTGGAAGACAGCACTGCACAGTGACCAGGACTGGAGCTTAATGATGCTTCACAAAACCCCACGAGATTGTGTAACAATCCCCAGTTATCGTAGTTAAAGTCCAGTTTCAACATGATCACTGCCT